AAAGAGGTTACTTCATTCATTTATCTAGCATTGAGCATTGTCTCAACTACAGGAGGAGCGGACGAGGATGTCAAATCGAGCGAGAATCGGGAAGGCGAGAAACACATTCATCAGCCTGAAATCAATCTGGAAATCTTCGTCACTCAGCATCACCAACAAAATCCAGTTGGATTTTCAATACAAACGTAAAGTCAGTTCTTCTATACGGATCAGAAACTTGGCGGGCAGATCACAAAGAATATTTCCAAAAGGCTGCAGACCTTTATTAACAACTGTCTTTGCTCAATACTGAAGATCAGATGGCCGGAAAGAATCACCAACAAGGAATTATGGAAACAAACAAAGCAAGAACCAATCGCCAACCAACTAATATGCAGGAGAAGGTGGAGATGGATTGGACACTCGCTGAGGAGGCCGCTGGGTGATATAGCGCGCGCCAAGCCCTCGAGTGGAACCCGAAAAGGAAGCGGCGTGTGGGACGTCAGTGCAAGGTTGACATGGAGGAGATCGTGTGAAGAGGAGTTGAAAGAATATGGATTAACATGGATGCAGGCGAAAAGTATAGCAGAAGACAGAAGAAAATGGAGACGTGCAGTTGAAGCCCTATGTTCCACTAGGAACCCAAGGGAGCAATAATAATAATAATAAAAGGTAATCAATGAGTATCTAAAATACAGTGCAAGGCTCAGTGAAGCTAGAATTTCTTTGGACTTCATTCTTGAATGCATTGAGAGAAACCAATATCCCAAATCCTATTGGAAGTCTTTACGACGTAGCAGAGTTCGCCCAAAATAGTAAGACACTCAAGCGTCACGCATTGAATCAGACTGACTCAGTCAAATCATGTATCACAGAACTGTCAAAGAATGTTACAGAAAGGTTCTATGCTGTGGACAAGCTCCCTGAGCACTTAAAGAAACCGTTCCTAGATTACAAAAAAGAGATTTCTGGCAAGAGAAAGAAAGAAAGAGAAACGTGCCAAATTATTACAAAGCCTGGAAAGAAAAACTCTGGAAATGCGATTTCCTCCAAACCCTGGTGGTCGCTATGTTTATAATTTTTCCGATGTTGTCCTTGATGACACAGATTCGCAAGTATTATCCCAAGGCACCAAGTTTTGTGACAATCATGTTAGAATTAACTTCTTTGCACAAACTGAAGGCTTGACACTCTCATCAGCTGAGGCAGTTGAAAGTCTTAAATCAACTCTCGTCGACTGTTGTTATAAATATATAAATAGTAAACGAAAACTAAATAGCTTATTGACCAAGAAACACAGGGAATCCCTATAGAAGCTGCAGAAATAATGAAAATATAATAATTTCGAAACCTGATAAAGGCTCTGGAGTAGTCATAATGAATAAAACTGAATACATAGATAAGATGAATGGAATACTCAGTGGTCATGGAAGATTCCGTCGATCCAACAGAAAAAGTAGAGAAACAGCTAATCGAGTCACTAAAAAGACTTAAACAACAAAGTAGCATCATAGACGGTTTATATGAATCTTTAAAGCCTACTGGCACAATTACACCAAGATTATATGGACTACCATAAGTGCATAAAATCGGTTTGCCACTTCGACCAGTGTTTTGGATATGTGTAATTCTCCATTCCACCCAACAGCTAAATGGTTAGCAAAGCTTCTAAAGCTTCTGCATAATGAAGTGGTAAAACATAGTGTAAACGGCAGTTTTGAATTTGTTGAAAAAAATAAGAGATCTTAATGTGAGAGACAAGTTTATGATATCTTTTGATGTATCCTCCTTGTTCACCAATGTACCGTTAATGGAGACAGTGGATTTTATATGTGAGGAGATTACTACGCGAAACATAGACATTGGCATTTCTGTATCCACCTTGAAGGAACTTATTTTAAGATGTACAATGAATGTTCATTTCTTATTCAATAAGGAATATTAGAGACAAACTGATGGTGTAGCTATGGGTTCTCCATTAAGTGCAATTCTAGCTGATTGTTTCCTCGCTAAGTTAGAGAATGGACCACTGAAAGATGCAATACTATATTACAGGTTCGAACCCCGATGGGTGCGTACTGCTGAAGAGTCCCAAACTAGGACGAAACAGCTGTCCAGTACTCCCAGGTTTTCTAGTGGTTCTCTAACTGATGTCAGCTCATGGTGAAATCATTCATACAACCAAACAAAATCCCTACAAAACCAATACTTGAAAATTCTATATTTGTACGAAAACTACTGTTTTGAATAAGGCTAGTATTATCACATTATTATTAGACAACAATCAGTGTAAATGGCAGGAACCTGAAAAAAACAACCCCTTATTTACCTGAGAAGCATCGTTTCAACTACAGGCGGACAGAACTAACGAGGATATCAAAGCAGAGAGGATCGGGAAAGCAAGACAAGCTTTCATTACTCTCAAGTCTGTGAGGAGGTAAACAGCACTCAGCATGAAAAGTAGCATCCAGATTTTCAACTCCAATATTAAGTCACTGCTACTTACCTATGCGGAGTAGAGACTTAGCGCGTCATAAAGAGCACCTCAAACAAACTACACAACTTCATCAACAATTGTCTTCGCTCAATACTATTCAAGATCAGATGACCGGCCAGAAAAGATCAGCAACAAAGAAAGGGAGCTCTGTCAATGAGCGAACCAACCCACCAGGAACCGATTATGCAACAAATAAGCATAAAGAAATGTAGGTGGATTGGCTGACCATACTCTGAGAAAACAAACCATCAAGTGACATCACTAGACAGGACATCGCTCGAGTGGAACCCGATAAAAGGAAAGCGGCGAGTTCGACGTCGATGCCAGGTTGACTTGGAGGAGGAGATCATGTGAAGAGGAGATGAAAACATGTGAACCAAACGCAATGGAGACGTGAGCGGCTGAAACCCTATGTTCCTTTAGGAATTAAAGGAAATAATAATAATAACTGGTCAAAAGGGAAATGGAACCCGGACGGACGGAATGACGGAGGCACAAACAACACATTCACTATATTCAACAAAACAGAATTATTCGTATTATTGTTATCATTATAATTATTATTAACACTTACAAATTATCATCTTAGAAATATGAATATATTGATAAACTCCTAATAAGAAGAAAAAGGGCAAAACCAAAAAAAGAATAGAAAGAACAACGGGCAACAAAGTAAAAAATAGCAAAAAAAATACAATTTAAAAACATTCAGAAAAGAGTGAAAACAATAGAAGATGAGACGAAAAAAAGCAAAGAACGAACAAAGTAAAAAAAAAGCAAATAAACAATAAGTACATATACATAAGGACAAAGCAATATTAATAGATATACATATACATATATATATTACATAATATCTGTCAATTTGAATACAAATATCAAATCACAGTTCAGCGCGCACAGACGACAAGACGGTAGGCATGATAGCCACTATCTCCGATTGGATGGATAAGAGGAAGTGAGTACGCGAAACGGGAATAAATAGCACATATGCAAAAATGTTAAGATATTGAAAATAATTAAAAAATAAAATAAAAATAACAAAACAACAACATGAGATTGTAAAGTACCAGTTTTCCCTAAAAGAGATCCATATTGTGAAAGGGTGGGGTGAGGTGAAACAGTCCCCCACCTTAGCCCCTTCATCCCTCCCACACACACACACACATACACTCTCCAATATTTTTTCTAGCAAAGAACTAAGGAAATAAAGATGGGATCTGAGCATATTATTATTATCATGATCGACCTCAGATAAGACGGATGGAGATCACCCTTCCCCACCCCCAGCTTATTACCTGAAATTTTAATATGTATATATGAGCATCTATTATCGATCTGTGCGTACTAATATTAATACTAAACATCCAAAACATCACCACCACCCGCAACAACAACAACCAGTCCATCTGCACCCCCAGAAGACAAAACAAACTGTGTTGGAACATTAAAAAAGAAAGAAAAAAAGGAAAAAAATATGAACATATATGGGCTTTGAACATAGGGGAAGAGAGAGAGGGGGGGGAGAATATTTCCGAAAAACAAATTGAGTACACCCCGTCATTTCGTTTGATTCAAAGTAAAAAAAAAAGATAACCATCAGCGAGAGACGACAAGAGAGAGAAAGTGACTGGATGTAAAGAGGCGAGAATACAGAACACAGGATCATTTGATGAACAGTGAGAGGAATAACAAGCAGAATTCCTGGTAGCGATAAAAAGTCACCAATCAAGGTGTGTGTGTGTGTGTATGTATAGTATAATATAACGTATCCCAAAGCCTTTAGTCCACTATTTCTATATACAGGGGAATAATGATGTTCTATATATTTACACAAGTGGTATACAGACCATTTTTGTAAAGACAGATAACGAGCATCTCTCTGTGAATAATAATAATAATCATAAGAGTAGTGACGATTGTGTATGAGACAGACAGACAGACAGACAGAAGAGAATAAATAGCCAGTCTCAATGAAGAAGTACTTCCCCACACACATAGCGCCTCAATATACAACAACTGACGGGCCAACAAACCCACGCTCACGCCCAAAAATTTCACAGATAAAGATAGTAGTAGCGACAGTAGCGGTAGTAATCATAGTTGCAGTGGTAACAAAGAAATAGAGGGGGGTGGCGGCGGCTGGAGCGGGGGGTTCGCAAAGGAAGCCAAATTAATCAGCACAATAATTGTCAACTGAAGGAGGGTAGAGTTAGTATATCAAAATATACATGAAATGATCAGAAAAAAAAAGAAGTCAAATAAACAAACCAACAAACCGACCAACAGACAAACACACAGACAATAATCCCATGAATATAGTGATGAAATAGAAATGCAATAATTTACGTCTTCTTTTTTTCCCTATGTACATACATGAAGAAGGTGAGTATCGCCATTATCATTATTATTATTCATAATACAAAACAGCAGTTGGAAGAGATTCATTCCAGAATCAAATTAATCAATAAATAAATCAATAAATCGATAAATAAAATATAATATAATAAAAACCAATGAAAGATCAAGTGAATACAGTAGCACTCCTGACAGTACTACTACTACTACTACTACCATTGCTACTTCTACTGCTGCTGTTCTTGTTGTTATGGTTACTGTTGTTGTCAATGATACTGAGATTTTCTGTACAATTCAACTTATTATGCCCTGGTAAAGGATCAATAGTCTGTGAATTTGCTAGGCTACAATTTACATCGTCCTCTGATAATTTATTCAAATCATTAATGATCTCCCTGATAGCATTCTGTACATCTTTTAATAAAGCAATATTAGTTTTATTAGTTTTAGAAGGATTATTATTGTTACCATTATTAATACTATAAGTGATGTCAAGTTTTTTAGAACGTAATAAACTGCTAAATGTTTGCAGGCAGGCGAATCGATCACGGAAATTGAATTTCGCCCTAGCAGAACATGTCGCTTGATCAATATATGTGGAACAACTTGATCGACACGCTTCCAGTTGATCAGCTAACTCAATTAAATGTTCTGAATTCGATAGAGATGATGACAGGGTTGAAGCAGCAGTGGTTGGCGTAATCGTCGTCGTCGTTGTCATCGGAGAGGTGATACCACCACCACTAGGACAATCTGAATTTAAAACATTACAAGTAATTAAATATTCTAATCTATCGACAATATAGGATAAATGTTTCCTTAAATGAGTTTTAGTCGGCGGTGTAATACAATGATTACTATTACTACTGTTAAATGCAGTAACTTCATCTAGCGCTGTAGATGACGTCGAGAATATTGTCGGTAAACATAATAGTCGTTGAGATCGTTTTTGACTGCCTGAGGTGGCGTTGTCATCTGTTGGACCAGTCCAACTTAAACGTTTTTGTAGGATTAAATTTGATAGCAGTTTATCATGACTGCTTTCAACATTTTCAAGTCGTTTTACATGAAATTTTGGAGAAGCATTAGTGTTTACTACAGTTGAAACTTTATTGGTTATAGGTAGAGGAGTGGATTTTTCCACCCTTGTCTCGGATTGAATCACTCCTCCTGTAGAATGTTGTGAAGGTTCTGTCTTAGTGTCTGGTGTTGAGGGGATTACACTGTTAGTCTCAGCAGTTGCTTTGCTCACCACACTACCACCACCACCAGCACCAACAGAATTTGCAGAATTGATAGTTTTCAAACGAGGCATAGTGAAATACGGTGAAGAATTAGACACCGCTGATGACTTAGAATTGATTTTATCTTGATTACTAGACAAAATTGAACCGGATCCATTAGCCGATGATGGTTTATTTGACACTGCTTTAGCAACAACAACACCTGGTTTTGATACCGACCAATCTTTGAGTTGTTGAGAGTGCTGTTTTAATCTATCACGTAGCTCTTCTTGAAAATCGGTGGATGCAACAGTCGAATGATGATGAACACTAGGTTTGCCCTCTTTAGGAAGATGATTCGACGATTCAACAATTCGCCTGCCATGAGAATGATTTAATGTGGTCATCAAATTTCTTGATTGGATTTCAGAAGTGATTTTATTGACAAGATCGGAATTATTATTATTATTATTATTAATTGATTTTGGCGGCAGTAATGACTTTGAAGATGGTTGGCATTGTTTAGTGAATGGGGAAGACACAATGGTGTGTGTTGGTAACGGATGGTCGGGGTAAATAGACCGAGTTAAACTGTTATCACATGAAGGTGGATCTCTAGACGAGAAAGGTCCAGAAGATGGGAAAACAGCTGCAATTTAAAGGAAAAAACACAACAGATTAGAAAATGATAAATTTGTTTAAACGACAAAAGAACGGTTAATGAACAAAGAGTACTCTTTTTTGAAAACCTGTTCTTCATCAGGTTCTACAGCTATATATACGGTCAAGTTAAACTTTAAGCACCATTAACTACCAATGGAGTGTGACCCCACACACAAATGACCTAAAAACGCTCACTGAGCAAGTTAGTCAAACCTGGGAAATAATGTTGTCATCATCAATAAAATATCCTCATCGAAGTGTTATGCTAATAAATGGGATATCTGGCAAGTCCCGGCTAAGGTTTGGGAAAGATTAAGTTACGCTTTAAGCCAAGGACAAATTAGGGTTAGGTTAACCTAATAAAGGCAACATTAAGGTTGGTTCGAGTTAGATTACAGTTAGTTTAGGAATATTTTCACGTTAGGTTAGGTTCCGGAAAGATTAGGGTTATTTGTTAGGGTTAGAAGACCTAAATAATTACATGCATAGAATGTGGTTAAATTACTCTGTTGATATAAGAATAGAACTTGTGTACTGTGGCGGTAGAGTATAATTCCATTGTGGGTAACATTTACTTTGATAAATTCTCACAGTGTTATACAGTAATATTTACTGATGACGTTTTGAACACAATTTATTGCTCACGAAATATGAGACTTAATCAAAATAAATTTTACCCACAGTGGAATTATACTCCGTTGACACTCCAACGTTAATCTTTCATCTCTTTGTGGTGGTTACTTGAATGTCAGATCATCTATGTGCCAACTGTATCCGCCTACGTAAAATCTCCTGTGGTTGGTTGTTAAATCAGTCTTTGTTTTTATTTTTCTCACGACCAATATTGAGGATGTAAATATTGACGTAAATTACTGTCTACCAATTTGGCTAGCAGCCAGCTCCCACCACACTACAACTGGACTCCAAAGATAGATACTGAAAGAGGTAGTGTGCTCTTTAGTAATATGAAACTCTTTAGCGTAAAATTCCTGATGTTGTGACAGTTATATGTGGTGCAAAAGAGTCTCGAACAAGGACAAGACATGGTGAGTGTAAACGTGGTTTCCGAAGTCGATAAAACTGGTGTCTATTCGTAACAAAATTGAACGACTTGTAGATAAAAATATTAAATGTATTGAATTGGTTGTGTTCTCTGATAAGCTGGTTGGTTTAACTGTCAAGCTTTCATCGTCCCCTATGCAGACAACATCATCAGCTCAGCGCAGGTTACAGCATAAAATGAACTTATTCGAATTCTCCATAAACGATAGAATTGTGTCGCCTAGCAACCACTAGATCGTGACTGATTGTTAATTTACATCTCAACTGATCACCTGTATTGACTTGAAATTCAAACTTTCATGTCATGTGATGATTTACTTTTTATTAGCTGGTGGTAAATTTGGTCTATGTGTGTTTGTTAATCGTTGGCTCACTAACTTGAGTACCAGGACTCCAGAAATTCCCTGATGGCATTTGTGGTGTTTCCTCTATTTAAAAAGTCTACATTATCACAATTATTAAATTCGTGTTCATGATTAACTAAATGCATTGATATCAAAGCGTATACGTATGTCATGTCACTTTACAGCTAATTTGTGTTCTTAATATCTGATTTGAAGGGAACACCCACTTTGAGCACCATGGGTGTGATGTTTATTGCAGTTCATACATGCAATTTATTTTATAAATGGTATTAATTTTATCTTCTTTTTCTGTTCGAAGGGTCTTTTGGTTTGCACAATATCGAATTTCAATGAGAGTTCGTTGCTTTAATTCATTCATTGTGTGCGGGCTGAGATACTGCCCCGGCGCCCAGACCGAAGCAGGTGGTTTTCTAAAGGGACCACTCCCCCCCCCGAGCCTTTGACTTGGAGTCTAATCCGAAAGGCAGCGGAGCAGCGTCAGGAGCTGCATTCCCATGGTTTCCGGTGACCCATATGGGTTCATACACCATTTGATCCGATTGGATACTGGAGCCCATGTACCCCATGGTAACTGCTTTTAGTTTAACCGCTATCCAGAAAACCTCCCTGACATGGTAGGACCTGTAGAGACAGAGTCCCAGTCAGTTCAGCTTGTTGGGTCACTGCGGTATTCAAGCCCGACCACCACGACAAGGTAGCAGTTATCGGCGTGTAAATAAATACAATATCGAATAAAGTGATTGTGCTGGTTGGCTGGTTGACTGGCTGTTGTGTGTTGTATCTCTTTTAAACGAGTTTTAATATTCTAGCTGTTGTTTCAGAGATATTCTCTATGTATGTGGTGAAAGCTGGCTGTTAGCCAGTAATTTTCGTCAATGTTTACGTCCTCAATATTGGTCATGAGAAAAATAAGAACAAAGAATGATGCAACAACCAACCACAGCACACTTTCCATAGGCGGATACAATTTGCCAATAGATTAGCTGAACTTGAAGAAACAGCCACAAAGATGGAAGAATAACGTTCAACAAGAAACCGCCAATCACAAGACTGTATCTGTCTGCTTACAATAATCTACAACAATGTACGTGAAAATCTATAAACATCTATTGATTTCCTAAATAAACCTTCTATTGTCCAGTCCTTGTCTTCTGTTGTTACATTTGGCGTCGCTCTTTACCGACAAATGGGAGGCCTGTGCCCTGCAGTTTTTGATAGAAACATATGGATCTTTGGGCAGGACTTCAATGCTTCTGCGCAGTTCAGTGGCGTTTTAGATCTGTCAGCGATGAGGCTGTTACTTGAGACGCTGCTGAGAGGTCAAAGAGAAAGCAGCATATAAAAGTGTGAGGTGAAATACTGACGAATGTGCGACAGGGTCAGGCAAACACTTTGCATAGTGGGAAGGATCACATATGGTCATGTTGAGATGGGGTTACGCAGGCACAATCGCAATGGCAGACAAAGAGAAACAGGTGAACATCAGAAAGTGCTGTTCCATGTATGGTAGGATGAATTTTCTTGTGGTCTTCGATGATGGTTTCTTGCTGTTGACAGTGTTATATCACTCATCTAGAAGTACGACGAGAGGCTTCCACATTAAATCAACCAGCTCCTAGGAGAACACAACTATTTCAACATCATTCACCTGAGTTACAAGTCTTCTGCATCATTTCGCTATATAATGTATACTATTTATGTAATCAAGTTTTGGTTTGTAGGGATTTGATTGACTGGTTACAGGACTTCATCATGAGCTGACATTGGTTAGAGAACCATTGGAAAACCTGCACGGAGTACTGAACAGCTGTTTAATCCTAGTTTGAGACTCTTCACATTGATGGGTTCGGACCCAGGACCTTCTGGTTACAAGGCTAGAGAGCTCGTAGATCACTAAGCACCTGGGATCCGATCCAATGGCCAGCCCATGAATTCTAACTTCTGCCAATTCACAACATAGCGCGACCCCTAGCCAATATCCTCGGCGAGTATTTATCCTCACACCCGACCTGCTGAACCCTACTGGTCACAACTTCTCACTAGAACCTCAAGTAACTACCTACGTGAATAGGGCAAGTCGCTAGTGAGCATCTCATCGATATTCAAGTGTTGGTTTGTAGAGATTTGATTGGTTACAGGATGATGTTTACTGATGTGAAAAATCGATATTTGACTCCATATATGCATATTCATATATACATGAAAATATGTATATAAAGAGACGTGTACTGTTAACTGATACAAAATAAATAATTCAGTAAATAATTTATTTTATTATTTTTTTCAAAAAGTTACAAATCATTTGTTTGAATTGGTTCATAATTTGAGTTTTTACTTCTAGTGTTATAAATGAAAATGACGAATGAAATTATGCGCCTTGCATATTGATTTATCCGAATGGCGAGTAATACCACCTTTGGTGAATTCAATTCGATCCAATCCAATCCAGGGATTGAATTGTATTCCCGTTCACTTTTTTAGTTTAGTTCGACGGTTTTAGTCGGTCGAGTCGAAGTCAGATGATGAGAAGGCATGAATATTCATTGATTTATGTTGATGAAATTTCTACATTGCGCGTTTCCTTTCATTTTAGGGTGTGTGTGATGTGATCTAACCTGCGACACGACCCTAAATATAAGTATGTATATATATTACTAATTGATTGGCACCAGTAGTTGAAAACCACCACTTACAACAGCCAGATCGAAGCGATGTCAACATCGAACAGCCGATTCACGCCAGACAGATAGCTCTCTCGCCCCTCTTAACTGAGTGAAACTGTCTACACCACTAACGACTGAGGCAGCAGACTGGCGTTTAGATAACTTAGTGTGAATAGTGTCCAGTTACTCATGTCATCAATCAATCACAGTAGTACACACAGCATCATGCATCTTTGCTTGATTTCTTGACATTTCACATTTATGGCATCTGACAAGCAGATCAGATCACAAACACACACACACACACAAGGCGTCTCAACTATCTCTCTTCAAGGAACTCATGTCTCTTCTGAGATTCCAATCTACATCACTCAACTCAGTGTTCTAGCAGTCATAGACAGCTATCTCGAATATGACAACTGACCTTCTGTAGGAGGACTGTAATGAATGCACCGACTGGTCATTTTCATGAGTTAACAATGTCATATGTACAGTTACTTCTTAATATGGATGTTGACTGAACTCTGTTAATGAAGGCCAGGTAATATCATTAGGCTTCATTACCACATACTTGTAAACAAATGGTCTTTTATTTCAGTAGGATATCAGAGTTAAGCAACTAAAAATTGTACACATGCTCAGTCACTCAGTTGGTCAGTATTATTTATCAGGATCCCTTGTATATTCATTCCAATCACGATCGAAAAATGAGTTGTTTGAAGTGTTAAAATGGAGTTAAATTCCTTTATACGTTAATTCAATCCGTCGAAATCAACTATTCGAGTTTACAGTTCAATGAAAGAATTCAGCTAAAGCCATTGGCCTTTTGTGGTTTTGTCGTTTACAAGAATTGCCAGTTGGCTACCTTTCTGACAGCCAGTCTCTGTTATCCACTTCCGCAGACAGCCTACATTTACACAGATATCAAAGTTGAATGACTCAAATACAAGCTGATGGATGGTGCTAATGATTGAGTAAATCACTTTTCGTTGAATACATATTTATGCCGTGCAGATTGTGTATTTCAATTTGTCAGTTAGTTTGTTACATTGATCTGTCCACCTGTTAGAATTTTTTTTAATAAATGATGTATCACAATGTGACTAGGTGTGTGTGTAGAGACGCGTAACTAAATAGCAGAACTGAATCTGACGAGGTAAAGCGGTTGTCTCTAGTGCACTACTAGCATTCTATTATCACAAAGTGACATCCAAAATGATGTTTATCAATGAATTCAGCGCCTTCACTAACTGTCTACCGATAGTGAAGACCAGATAACCAGTGAGAAAAGATAAGGAAGAAGGAACTCTGATGGAAGTTAACGTACGAACCTCCATCACCAGCAATTTACTGCCCAACAACTATGCACAAGGAAGTGGAGGTGTGTGTGTGTGTATGGCACGCAGATCAATACAGGATATTCACTCATGCCGTCTTCAATCTTGTCATACTGTTAGTCAGTGGTCAGTCAGACACATATACATGAATGTGATTGAATTCGAAAGGAAGGCAAAATTGAGAAAAAGGACTTTGCTATGTCTTTTCATACAGAATAGGACCAAATCAGTCTTTGTATAACAGTTCGCCGGATTGCTACTAGTTGGCCATTGAAGTCTAAGTGTGTGTGTGTGAATGAATATTTTCGTTATATTCAAAATCGAAATAAGTAAAGAAACAGTGCATAGGAGCGATGCCCACCTCTAGTTACGCTAATGAGTTAACAATTACCAAAATAGTAAGAAGAAGTACAAACCTTTCAGCTTACAAACTAATTTCCATTAGTATATTTTATGAAATATTATATTATATTTATATTTATATTATCATTAATTCGATTACTGTGTTTCTTTGATGATGACCTAGAAAATTGTGAATTCCATAAGGCGAAAAGCTTAGAAAACGGTTATCCTGACGAAGTTAAAGTATCATAATCAAATTCAATTGTCTTTCAAAAGTTGCTCTTTCAAGAACCAATTAGATAAAGGGGGGATGTTATGAAGATCATTCTAAATTAAATCAAAAGTCTGTCTTTTTGGATTTGGCGAGAGCAGATACAGTTTTCTAATTTATTGTGTGGGTGCTTTCCATGCAAATCTACACTGTTAGGTAGGATTTTAAGACTAAATAGTTAGCATTATGGTTAGAGTTAGGAGTAGGTTTTATATAACAGTGTCAGAAATATCAATGGATCTTAAAGTACCATGACCTACACAATCACCTGGATGAATACATCGATGAGATAAATCTATCGCGCATAGTATGATTTCTCCATAGATCATTTGTGTAGTAACTGAGAGACATTCTTATACAACACATACAACTATATAGTGGTATGTCATGTTTGCAGTGATAGTTTAACTTTTAATTCAATTTTAGATTTTTCCGTCGACTGACTGATTGGACCGAAGTGCTCGGTCTTAGCAGGTTGACCATGTCGGCTTCTTGTGCAGATGCTTCAACGATGGATGCCCGGGTGATATGTATCCACATGATGTGTGTTTTGTTGTTGACAGTCTATCACATTTTGCTGTGTATATGAATCGATATTTCATTATAACTGACAATATGCTTTTGTCTGTCCACTAACCAAAATAAGCAATATATGACCTTATTATCACATGACATTACAGCCAATCATGGTAAGACGTTATCTTATTGGTTCATGTGTATTAGCCATTTCCATACATACTTTTGTATTAGACACTTGTACATTATTCTGGTTCACACACTTTTTCGTACGCTAAGTACCATTTCACTCACACACTAGTGTGACATTTATTTTCCTTGTCTGGAAAATACAAGTATCATCGTAAACCTGGTGGTCTTCTGATTTCCCTCTTTCCGCATCAGGACTATTAACTACTCGACAAGTACATAACACCGGACATGTATTTAGAAGTTGATTGGTGGTGACTAGTAGCGGAATCATCGAGGATAACGAGCATTCATCCTATTCGGGACTCGTCATCTGGACGTACCTGCATTCCCCAGTGAGTCAGTGATGATGTTCCCACCGAAACTTGAACCCAGTGCCCATAGTTCCAGACGCCAAATAGTTATCCACTAAACCAATTGGGCACTGGGTTCGAGCCTCGATGAGGACATCACTTACTGTCGTATGCAGATACATTCAGATAATGAGTCTCAAAGGGGATGAAATACGCGTTATCATGGATTCCACTGCCAGTCATTGTCAACCAAATAACTTCTAATAGTTTAACTTTACCGGTATTCTAATACAGCTACATCCTCAGAGAAAGCACGAAGACAAAGAGAGACTGACAGCTACCTGTCACTTCTTTCATTTTACTTAACATTTTTTTATTGTGATGATGATAGCTGAACTCAAACAACAATGTTAACTACTCTAAATGATACAGCATAATAGTGTGGTTAGAGCTGACTGCTAGCCAAAAAGTGGTAGATAATAATTTATGTCAATGTTTACGTCCCCAATATTAGTCATGGGAAAAATAAGAACAAGGACTAACTCAACAACCAATCACAAAGGACTTTACATAGACGGATACAATTTCCAGATAGATAATCTGAACTTCAAGAAACAACCACAAAGAGATGAAAGATTAACGTTCAGAGAGAAACCACCAATCAGAAGACTGTGTTTGTCTAGTAACAATAATCTATGATAATAATAATAATGTACATGAAAATCTATAAATATGTGTTGATTTCGTAAATAAACGACCCGTTCTCCCTGGCGCTCGTCTTCTGTTGTTACACTACTACCGTGGCTTTCTGCGACCGATATATGCAAAGAGTTAGAGACTCCAATAAAATATTCAAAATATAACAGAAGAAACATAATGGAATAGAAACCATGAGGCCTATTACACTATTACTGTGGGTCCGTGTGGCACAGCGGTTAGGACTCTCGCCGACCATGCGCACATGGTTCAGGGGGTTTCGATCCTCTGCCGATGCACAACTGATATCAGTGGAATGGTCTGTCTGTCTGCGAAATTTCGGCTACCGATATCACATGCTGAAAATAAGATGTAGAATCAAGCTATAATCAAATTTTAAAATTTGCGAAGCTACCATCGCCCTACTTACTAGGCAACATCTTCGTTCAGCGGATAATTCAATTTGAAGTGAAGTGAGCTTTCACCACGAGTTTATTAATCATCTCCACCGGTGACCATCTTGGACGTGATTGTTTGTTCCTGTGTGTTTTTACATCCTCTAGACTGCTACTCATATTGGAACTGATTGTTTCTTTGACTTGCACTTTGACCCTTTGTGTGTGTGTGTGTGTGTGAGGTTTCTTTCTTATCGGTTGATAAATTTTGTCTATCTCAATGTGTCTATTGATTGATGATTCACTGGAATACCAGGCAAGCTTCTAAAAATTCTCTGGCTAGCATTCTTGTTGTCTTGCAGTGATTTCAAGACACTTGAAAACTTTAGGAATTGACGTCACACGCAAACAAACAAAGTCACTTCACTCAGACAGACAGCCCTGTGTCAAACCAGAAGACTCAATAACGAAAGAAGATAAAACCAACATCACCTACAAAATAAATTGTAACAATTGCAAAAAACACTACATTGGCCAAAGTAAATGTTCCATTCGTTTTCGTATCCACGAACATAAGCTAGTCGTCAAAAGATATGATATCCACACCCTCATATCACTACATACAGACAACCACAGACATCAATTCAACTGGGACAACCAACGTTCAAATATTAGACAGAAGAAACAACAAGAATGCTAGCCAGAGAATTTTTAGAAGCTTGCCTGGTATTCCAGTGAATCATCAATCAATAGACACATTGAGATAGACAAAATTTAACCAACCGATAAGAAAGAAACCTCACACACACAGATGGTCAAGTTTCAAGTCAAAGAAACAATCAGTTCCAATATGAGTAGCAGTCTAGAAGATGTGAAAACACACAAAAACAACCAATCACGAGGTTCAAGGTGGTCACCAGGAGAGATGATTAACAAACTCGTGGAGAAATCTGAAAGCTCACTTCAACATATTGAAGTATGCGTGATGAAGATGTCACTTAGTAGGTAGGGCGATGAAAGCTTCGCAAATTAACTATCCAGCCAGCTCAGAGAACACAACCACATCAGAAATTACCTCTTACATTATCCATAATAAAAAATATTCGAAAATTATCCATAAAAGAACTCCTACCCGAAGTGCTCATAATTGATGGCATTGTCATCATCGACGAGGTTGAATTCAGATGGTTCGATGAATTAATCGTGGTGACACGTGGATATTGTTGTGACTGTTGGTTCGAGGAAGATGATGACGGGGTTGGTGGGGGTGGGGGTGCATGAATAGGCTCAGGTGGTGGGGGAAGAGGCGGCATATTATTATCAAAATCACTCTTATTATAATCATCCCAATGATTGATAGGAAAAGTCGTGGGAGTTGATGATGATACTGCGGTAGCATTGTTGTCATCTGTAAGAAAATTTAATGGTTTCACTGGTGTTGTCCGCCTTGGTGGTCGAGGAGCAGTTCGTTTACGTCCAAGTGAGCCAGATGTTGTAAACGGTAAGTCTTTTTCAGTGGAACATGAGAAATCATCTGTACTTAAATCATCAATGTGTAATTGTTTTGAGGATAAGGGATTTTTTAAATTTTTGGTGAATATACTTCCATGCAACAATTTATGATTACTGTTGCTGTTGACGTTGTTGTTGTTATTATTATTATTACTATGAATATTTTTATGCAATACTCCATCAATGCCTAGATCAGATTTACAATCATCTGAAATAATATAAAAGAAATAAATAAATAAATAATACGAAAGCCAATGTGTAAAGAAAGATACAAGATGTAAGTATAAAACTTGGGCACTGTGGTGGTAGAGTATAACTCCATTACAGATAAGATTTTATTTATATATATATTTATTATATAAGATGTCACACAGTTTTGTGTTATGCAGAAATATTAACTGATGACCACGTTTCGAGCACAAACTATTGCCAGTCACATAATCATATCAAGTTACTCACTCACACAACTTTCTTGCTTCATTCATATACATGTGTGGAATTAATTCATCAACCAACTGAAACCAATCTGGAAATCTTCGTCACTCAACTCATCATCAACAACAACAAAATTCACTCGGATCTTCAATACAAACAACGTCAAGTCAGTCAGTTCTTCTATACGGATGGAGCAGAAACTTGGCAGGTGATCACAAAGAATATTTCCAACAGCCTGTTGCCGACTTTTATAAACATCTATCTTCACTCTATACTAAAAATCAATCAGACGGCTGGAAAGAATCTGTCTGTCTGTCTGTTTTCGACATAGAACTTTGCACAAATGTGCGGAAGTTCAAGTCGCCACACTCCGTGTAGCACGCGAAGCAAGAGAAGAAAGTACAAGAAAAGCATAATAGAAACAGTGAGCAGAGGTGTGAGACAAAGGAGTAATAAAGAAATACAAAACAGTTTCATTGGAGATCATAAGTCACAAGGAGTGGATGCATCTGCGCCACTGAGAACGATTTTGAGCCATGTCACCAATTGTTTCCAACCATAGATTTTTACCGTCCCGAGGACCCCAGCCTGGAAGTCTACACCTTCCTACGTGGCTTAGACCAACTGTTGTGGATTTCATTGACTGATGCCAAGTTTTTGTTTGACCGCCGCTAGCTTTTTTCCAGCCTGACCCTATATCCGCTAACATTGCTCGTCGAGGGAGGCGATGGCTTGGCATACGTAACACATGTCCTAACCATCTCAGTCTTTGTAGCTTCACGACTTCGTCGATTGATTTCCCCTGTTTACCTAGAACTCTACGCCTAACCTCCATGTTGCTCACCTTATTATGCCACTTTACACGGGAAATAGAACGCAGGCACCTATGATCAAAGACAGCTAGTCTTTTCATGTCTTCCACTCTCAGTGGCCAGGTCTCACAACCATAAAGGAGGACGGAGCGGACTGATGAGCAGTACACCCGCCCTTTGGTCGATAGTCGAACATCTCGTCTACGCCAGAGTCGGCGTAAACTAACAAATGCGAAACGAGCCCCTTGTATTCGTGCTGAGATTTCGTCAGAGATCAACCCGTTGGTGGGGCTGATGGTACTTCCCAAATAAGTGAAGCGGTCAACGTGCTCTACCACTTCACTTCCTATTTTTAAACTAGGCGTCGATGTAGTCCAGTCCTGTAACATCATCTTGCATTTGGCGGGAGCGAATCGCATGCCAAACATTCGTAGATTGCGGCTCAAGGTGTTTAGAAGACTCTGCATTTCGTCAGCGTCTTCGCCTAGAAGGACTATATCGTCTGCATATTCCAAGTCAACGAGATTATTCCCCGGTAGCAAGTCAATCCCTGAGTCGCTGAAGTCACCTAGGGTTAAGTCCATTAACACATCTATGATGAAGTTGAATAGAAAAGGAGATAATGGGCATCCTTGACGGACACCACTGGTCGTCATCAGTTCAGATGACAGCTCGCCGTAAGCCCTCACCTGGCTGTATGAGTACGAGTAGAGTGCCTTAATCAGTGCAATATATTTTCTTGGAATTCCCTTTACAGCCAAGCATCTCCAGAGAACTTCCCGATCGACAGAGTCGAATGCTGCCTTTAGGTCAAGAAATATAATGACTGTTGGACGCCGGTAGGAATGCCTATGTTCTAGAATCTGTCGGAGGGTGAAGATATGATCAATACACCCTCTTCCTGGTCTAAAGCCTGCCTGGCTCTCTCGTGTTTGTGCTTCCCGAGCACCACTCAGTCTACGCATGATTATTGAGCCTAAGACTTTAGATACTATATTAGTCAAGCTAATCCCTCTGTGATTATCACAGGAAGACTTGTCTCCCTTCTTGTATATGGGGATAATCAGTGACTTACACCAACCCGATGGGACTTCTTCTGATTCCCAGACGCTGCCTAGTACCTCAGTTAATCCGGACAGTAAGCTGTCTCCACCGTACTTAAATACCTCTGGAGTCATTCCATCAGGTCCCGCTGCTTTGCCTAGTTTCAGATTGGTGACAGCTTTAGTAACCTCAGTTAGTGACGGAGGACCTGTGTTTATATCCCATTCAGGGAGGTGTTGGATGCTCGGAAGGTTGAGCGTGGCTGTGGGCAAATTAAACTGCTCCTCATAATGCTCTTTCCAACGATCCAGTCGTCTATCCTGGGAGCTAATTATAGTGCCATTTTTTTCCGAGATTGTCTCACTGATGATTTGTCTTCTCCCACCCGTTTCCCTGATGAGTCCAAAGAGTTGCCTGGTGTTGCCTATCCTCGAAGCTTTCTCCATCTCTTTGGCTTTTGTCGCCCACCACTGTTCACGGTCCTTGCGGAGACTTTTCGTAAGTTTCCTCTTGTGCAGCTTTCGCTCCTCATTGAATTCGGAGCTCGCCGGAATAAGTCTTCTAGCATCTATCAGTTCGGATGAGGCGGTGGAGATCCAGTGGTTTTTACTCACCTTTGGGTTTACCTTATTCACAGCTTTTACAGCTGTATCTATGGCTGCCTGGATATTTTTCCAAGCTTCTTCACCTCAATAGTACTCACCCTGTTAGACCATCACTTAACACACACAGGAGATAGAAGACAGGTACGTATGTTCAAAGGCAGATGGTCGGCCAGCCAGCCAGCCAGCCAGGACTTTTATGCCTTCCTCCACACTTCCAGTGGCCATTTCTAAGTCATAGTCATAACGGAGGATGGAGAGAATTGGTACTGAGCAGCAAACATACCCTTTGCTCCATAGCCAACCAGTCGGATATCACGTCTACTAAACCAGATATGGTGTAAGTTGGAGGGCATATGACAAACGAGCCTTCTGTATCCGTGTTGAGATTTCGTCAGCGATCAACCCTTTGATGAGAGTGGTTGATGCAACTTCCGATATAATGGAAGTGGCTAACACCCTCCATCAACGACTACACCACCTCTCTATTCTTAAGTTAGGAGTCAGTCGATGTATGCCAGTCCAGTCCAGTTCTGTAGCCTCACCATCTTACATTTGACAGCAGGAGCGAATCACTCTCGCATACCAAACATTCTAAGATTGCTCACTGCTGAAGATGTTCAGAAGACTGTGCTCTATTTTGTCACGTGTTCACCTAGAAGGGAGGAACATATCATCTGCATGTTGTAAGTCAACGATATTATACCCTGGTGGTGACAAGTCAATCCCTGATTCGCTGAATTCAGTTTTTGGAAGTAGAAGTATGTGGGCGGTTGTTACTCCCCAGCTGCCCACACCGTGGAAGTTGATTGATTCTTCGGGTACCTGAAACAGAAAGAGGGTTAGTGTTGCCTGACCGCAGAGCCCCGAGGACGACTCCTTGAGATCTGTCGGTCACATACGGCCTGTATGAACTGGTTTCTGGGATAGGTTCCGTATTAGTAAACTTACAGCCAGTTACGGACCACCATAGGTGTGGTAAGTGGGGATGTACAATTTTTAGGGTAGACCTTTTCTAACCCCTTCTATCTCTCCGGAGTGGAGAGACAGCATATCTGGCTGTCATGCTGGTCATCTGAGAGAAACACCTCACCGATGGTACACTCCTGTTCCCCAGCAGTACGACTTCGCCCTCAGACATCCATACCAGTAACTGCTTTTAGTCCAATCGCTATCCTAACAACCTATTCCTGGGATGGTAGTAGGACCTGCCAGGAACATTGGTTCCAGTCAATGTAGCTTGTTGGGTCAACGCGATGTGCAAACCCGACCACCACGCTAAGGTAGCAGCAGGTATCGGTCGGGCTGAATTCAATTAGGCCCAGGTTCTTTATAAGTAAATTAGTACAGTAAAAACTACTACTGCAGCTACTGTATGACCAATTTTTTTTCAAAGTAAACCTCACTCTATGCACACAAAATAATACTGTGGATAATCGAAGGAATTATATTGTCAGCCAACATAACAAACATACTATCAGGTGATAATCAACTACACGAATTTTTTTTTAAATACTTTTGAAAAAAAATAATAAAAATAACAAAAAGCAATGTATCCATTTTGTATTAGATAACTGAGCAACAAAAAATAAAAACTAACTCTGTTTAGAAAACAAAATCCAAATATAATTATATAAAAAGGTATATCTGCTAAGTATGCAAAGCGATATATTTCAAATCCAACTAGTTCGAACTAATGACAAAATTAAAATCACCAGGGATATAAACATATATATATATATACATTACCAAGTGTTGGTCGGTTACCAGATCAAAGACGAGATGACATCAGTTAGGGGGCCTATTAGAAAACCTGCAGGGACACTACTGGACAGTCAGCTGTTTCGTTAACCTAGCTTGGGACTCTTCAGTCACACGCACCCAACAACAGGGTTCGAACCCAGGACCTTTCGGTTACAAGTTTAGCGACCTCGTAGATCATTAAGCCACTAGGTATCCGACCCAATGTCCTATGAATTTCAACTTCTTTCAATTCACGATGTATTTAACACAACCACCAGTCTATGGTCGGTCATGGGCAAATGACTACGCTCTTAGTTGACTCGGTAGACTCCGCTGAGTACTCGTGGAGAGTCCTAAAATAGACCGATGAAACAGCTGTCCAGTACTCCCAGGTTTTCCAGTAGTTCTCTGACTGATGTCAGTTTGTGATCGATCCGATATATATATATATATATATATATATATATATATATATATATATATATATAAATTTTAACCAATGGCGGTGATTTTGTGAATCATCTACACACACACACAGATCATACGTAGACGCGTCCTTCCCACGTCCTCCATATGATGAATTAATCACTTACACTTTTGCAAATCACCATTCAAATGGCACGCATAACACACACATGAAAAGGCATAATACAAGAATTTAATAATTCAAAATTTAGTTATTTCTTATACCTTAAGGGTTGAGACCTAATTAATTAATTAATAACATAAAACAGGATATAATTATTCCCTAATTACTATTACAATATAGTTTAATTCAGATCATTTTAATTAAACTTGCTGGTCGTTCAGACCAGCCAACCAACGGACCGACCAACCAGCCAGTCTGACTAATGCCCACAGAATTGATTTTTAATTATTTAGCCATAAGTTAAAAGTGTTCAAACGGTTCCATCATTACTTTTAGAACAAGACATATAGGCGAAAAATACTGTCACTTTCAAATGGATCTTTTTCAGACTTCACTCTAATTTACATAGATTTATATATAAAAATTTTTAACCAATAACGGTGATTTTGTGGATCAAATAATAATAATAATGATAATAATGTGGTAAATGTTTTGATTGTCATTAATAACGATGATTATAATGATAACCAAATATTGATAATAAGGTTTATGCAAGTGGCGACAGGAATAACAAAGGTAGTAATATGCATGTGTATATGTAGACAATTCAATAAACAAGTAGATTAGATCAAATCTTAGTGTGGTGAGAGCAGGCTGCTAGCCGATTGGTTGGCACTAATCTACGTTAAGGTCTAGGTCACTAATATGGGCCGTGAACAAGGCTGAGTCAACAACCAATCACAGCGAAGTTAACGTGGCAAAATATGATTCGCAGATAGAGAACTCTGTTTGTCAAGGAATCCCGAAACAACCAATCAGAAGCCTGCGTTTGTCTACCTAAACAACCAATCAGATGACTGCGCTTGTCTATAATAATGTTGTCTGAAATATGTATAAATACGTGTTGATTTTCATAATAAAACGATCTGTTGCCTGGCCCTTGTCTTCTGTTGTTACATTTGGTGTCGCTGCCTACCGACAAATGAAAAGCCTATACCCTGCAGTTTTTGATGGAGACATATGGATCTTCGGGCAGGACTTCAAGGCTTCTGCGCAGTTGAGTGGCGTTCAAGATCTGTCAGCGATGGAGCTGCTACTTGAGACGCTGCTGGGAGGTCGGGTGAAAGCAGCATATGAAGGTGTGGGCCGAAGTATGGACGAATGTTCGACAGGGTCAGGCAAACAGTTTCCAAAGTGGGAAGGACCATATATGGTCACTTCGAGATGGGGTTACGCAGACACAGTCGCAATGGCGAACAATGAGAGGCGCGTGAACGTCAGCGAGCTCCAGAAATGGATACAGCGAGACAAGCCAACGATGACGCCTGCACAAAGTAGATCAAGCCGACTTCAGTCGCACGTATTTGACGGGGGGACGAGTGTGGTGAGAGCAGGCTGCTAGCCGATTGGTTGGCACTAATCTACGTTAAGGTCTAGGTCACTAATATGGGCCGTGAACAAGGCTGAGTCAACAACCAATCACAGCGAAGTTAACGTGGCAAAATATGATTCGCAGATAGAGAACTCTGTTTGTCAAGGAATCCCGAAACAACCAATCAGAAGCCTGCGTTTGTCTACCTAAACAACCAATCAGATGACTGCGCTTGTCTATAATAATGTTGTCTGAAATATGTATAAATACGTGTTGATTTTCATAATAAAACGATCTGTTGCCTGGCCCTTGTCTTCTGTTGTTACATTAGGAGTTACGTAATACTAAAGGTGAAGTGGACAGATAATCAGAGTTTAAATAAATATCATAGAAGTTCGAAGTAAATAGAAAATAAAGAAGGGTGAGGCCAAAGGAGAGACAAAGATAGAACAAACTTCTTTTGTACACTAAGACACTGAGATTGTTCCTTTGAATTAATTCCCATAGCTTCGACTGTGTGTAAAAGACGGGATCGAATTCTGTTCGAAAGGCTCGATAGAATGAGATAGATAACTTTGAAGGCACTTCTTCTTCTTCTTCTGTCCACTTGGTGACCGCTATCATCAATCAAATGAGTCAAAATAGAACTTCGAGTAGATTTTATTTGACATTTTCCGAACCATGAAGGAAGATGCTCATTAATACGTTTGTTAAGCTGTCTAGGTCTTCGCCCTATATAGCTGTACCTCCACAGGAGCAACTAAATTTGTAGATACACATAGAAGTGGCACAGCTAGGTAGCTTGTCTTTCACTTGAGCAATCAGAATTAGTGGGCCCTATATTCAGATAAGTGTGAATAAGTTTGCCAAAAGAAGGGTTGAAATCCCTTGTTTCTATATCGTTAAGATCTCAACAAACACGCCTTATTTAAGATGTCTACCTTCCCTACTCAACTCCCAGAATCCTTGTAAAACTGTCAGAGATCAGATCTAGAGCAAAGCTTTCATTCATTTCTTTGCGTTCCGAGTAGAACATACACACGGCTTCACTAAGCTTCATCAGTAGAAGCAGTGGTGTTATTTTTTAAAGGAATGGAGCTGACATGCCCACACGCCGAATGCATATGAACGTGAACACTGAACGTTGATTCGTTGGCCTTGTTTGCCATTGGCGAACAACTCGAAGGCGCGAATGATTCAATCGCGTAGAGGTTGGAAGAAGATGAAAGAATACGAATAAAAGTACAGTACATTCTTTTGTAAAACATTTGTTTATAGAACTTTTTACGATATAGAATTTAACTGCCAAACAATATATTTTCTTATTACAAGTCCTTGTTATTTTTTGGAGTTAAATTCGACAATCGTTCACCGAAATTATCGATTCGGAGCGACTCTCTAAACAATAGGAACTAAGAGTTAAGTGCGTCGGTGGCACAGTGGTTAGGACTCTCGCCGACCATGCACACGGTCCGGGGTTCGAGCCCACGCCGGCGCACACCTGATATCTATGGTCGGCCTGCAAAATTTGGGCTACCGATATCCATGCTGAAAATTCCATACTTGTACCAAAAATACAGTGTGGAATCAAGCTGTAAATCAGAAAAAAAAAGTACCTTGACTCCCAACCTTCCGTCTTTCCCGGGTTTACTATCCAGCTAGAAAGCTTGTAACGTTTGTTTAAGAGTGGATCAGTCAGAAATGGAACCCGACACCCCCTCCCGTCCCACTTTCCTCAGTTGACGAGCACTCACTCTACCATTCAAACCACAGATGTCCATAAACTTTACATACTAATTATTTTTAAACAAAAAAGCACAATAAAATAAATTTGATGCACCTACCTTTGATTTTATCACCACTTTGACTTTCTGTATTCTCATCAAGTAAATAATCACAACTAGTACTTCTCCGTTGTGGTGGTGGTCTAGGCGGAAGTGGTGGACGTGGAAATATATTATGCGGACGTCTAAATAATTTGTAAGCATCGCCCCCTGTTTCGCTGGTGGTGGTGTTCGATGCTGATGAAGCGAATTCCATGGCGATTTGTTCTTCTATTGATGAATTAGTACTCATTGATTCTAGTTGATTTAAGATATCAGAGAATGGTGGACGTTGTTCAGGATGCCATTGCCAACCTGTTAAAACAGATGACGGGGGAAATATCTTTACAATATTATTATATTATTTCAGCTGCATTTATGTATGTAATCACAGGGTATACAGCGTATAAAAATGAAACGAAATTCAGTACAGTACTTACAAACCAGATACTTTTATTACTCGCTTGACTTCCAGGTGGAACACATAGGAGGCTTGAACGAGACACACCTCCGACTTGTTCTATTTTCTGCCGTTCTTTTCAGCTGGGTGTCCACGATTGTCAATTATCTCTCATCTTCTCATCCCCAATACCCAGATCTCCTCTAAGTCATCCTCACACTGACAAACCACTCGTCGTTTCCCATTGGGAGTCTACTCGAGCGCAATGGTCTGGTTAGTGTGCGATGTCATTCGACGGCCTCCTCCTCAGTAGCAGCGTAGGTTCAATCCATCTGCATTTTCTCCTACATATTTTTATTGAGCAATCATCGACTCTCATTGTTTGGTTTGTTCCCAACCAGAGTTTCTTGTGACTAATTCTTTCTGGCTGGCTGGCTGGCTGGTCATTTGATCTTCATTATTGAAAGAAGTTCACTAGAGTTAGCTGGTTTTCTAGGCGATTTGAAGCCCAGGTGAAGAGAGACAGGGTTACGTGTAGGGGGCTAGCGACCCTACCCACCCACCCCCCACAAATACAAATCAACCCTGTTACAGAAACTTCAACGCACATTAAACTCGATATGTTTGTGCTTAAGTGAATACTGCATAATCAGTGTAGGATAAACTGGAATTCATATTTCCTACATCTACGTAAACAGAGAGAGAGAGAGAGACAGAAGACTGTAAATTTCTTGGCGGTCGGGACAGTAAACTGGTCTAAATGATAAATAAACATGAGGATATAACAAATATTCATTACAGCTGAAACACATTTCCCACATTGCATGGAGGATTTCACCATGAGCTGACACATCAGTCAGAGAACCACTGGAAAACCTGAGAGTACTGGGCAACTGTTTCGTCCTAGATTTGTACTCTTCATCAGCAAGCACCCGCCCCAACTAGGTTCGAACTGAGGATCTCTTGGTTACAAAGCTAGCGAGCTCGAAGACCATTGGGCCACTGGGACTCGATCCAATGGTTAGAATTCAAGGACCAAACAAAGGAAACGTTAGAATTACTCATTTCAATTTCACTGAAAAGTTTGCAAATATAATCTTTACATACGTGTACTTTTCACTCGGTACCGAATTATTCGAGAAATATTCCGTCAGATCTTGATCACGATTCATATGAATATTCCATTGATATTAATATCTAACACACAGTTAAGTCAAGTGAATTTTGGAACGTGGAAAACACCCATATGGACATTAGAAAGAAGAGAACACAAAGTTCAGCAAAGATGTTGGTATTTTCAGCGATTTCATTTTCAAAAACAGCTCTACAATCGCATTTATATACATAATACATTTACACGAATGCAATTCTTGTTTCATTCCACATAATTACGACGGCGAATAAAAGGTGACAATTATTTTCAACTAGATAAGGTTTTTACGAGAGGCTTAGAAACAAAATTACACAGGATTAGAACGGATAACAAGTGTGCAAAAATGAACATGGATATAAAATCGAAATAATAATTTTCAACTTGAGATGGGAGTTAGGAGGTGTGAATATAGATTACAAGAGCCTTAGAAACACAAAAATTACACAGGATTAAGATATGATTGTAAAATAGTTATTTTTTAAACGAATTATAAATGTGAGCTAGGTACATAGGTCGTTGTATGCACGTCCTTTCAAAACGTGTTAGAGAACATTACCCAGCGTAGTTGCAAAGAGGAGGCACCGGTTCACTCAGAAGTGCCATTATTGAACATCTGATAACCACCTCCCACAACACCTCAACTGATTCTTTCAAAGTAATTTACAAAGTCAGCAGTAACCTAGTAAAAGCAGCATGTTTCCGACTTCTCTGTACTTCAGAAGCCCTCGCAATATGCATCGAGAAGTCGGAGCTGTATGTTCAAAAGAAATTAGTCCAACCTCTACAACTACCATGGACCTAGTTTGGTATGTTCCCTTTGCTTCCATTTTTTCTCCTTTCATTCTCATTTCTTTTTTTCTTTTTCCGTTTACTGTGTGTGATTCTTACTCCCTCTGTCTTCATTCAGTTCACTCCTATTTTTTCAGTTATAAAAACAGTTACTTTAAATTTGTTTCCATGCTTTTCCTGTCCACATTTATAATTCGTTTAAAAAATAACTATTTTACAATCATATCTTAATCCTGTGTAATTTTTGTGTTTCTAAGGCTCTTGTAATCTATATTCACACCTCCTAACTCCCATCTCAAGTTGAAAATTATTATTTCGATTTTATATCCATGTTCATTTTTGCACACTTGTTATCCGTTCTAATCCTGTGTAATTTTGTTTCTAAGCCTCTCCTTGTAAACCATATCGAGTTGAAAATAATTATCACCTTTTATTCGCCGTCGTAATTATGTGGAATGAAACAAGAATTGCATCCGTGTAAATGTATTATGTATATAAATGCGATTGTAGAGCTGTTTTTGAAAATGAAATCGCTGAAAATACCAACATCTTTACTGAACTTTGTGTTCTCTTCTTCCTAAAGTGAATTTTAAATACTTCCGAAAAATAAAATCAACATTTGTAAATGGACAAACAACAAGCAAACTAACTTGTAAGCGAACTCACAGTCAGCACACGCAAAAATGTATGCGGCTGCAGAAATTCGTAAAATGAAGTTAATACGTACTACTACTCTATTAGGTAAACAACCCTTTCTTTGTATTAGTCATTGTGTTCCTCGATTTTTAGCAACGAAAAATAAAGTCGGCAAGACTGTCAGATACCAACCCCCCCTCCTACCTTATTTTGCCTAGTCTGATAAAGCAGTCGACGAAAACAAACTAAAATCAGCCTAAGCATAAACAGATACAGAATAACAGACACCAAAATCAGACGACCTTGAGCCGCAAACCAATCAGATTGCTCGGCACTAAAAAAAATACTTTTGAATGATCTTAGTAGCAAGTTTCATTCTGATTCAGGGTTACGGTTAGGATAGGGGTTCAAAGTAGGAGGTTACTATGGTTTAAGGTAGGTTAGAACGAAACTTCAAACAAAGATTATGAAAAGCAACCATTTGTAATGCTGAGCGCGATCTGATTGGTTGGTAGCTCAAGGTCATATGACTTTGGTGTCTTTTTTTCCTATTATTGCACAGAGTGGATTAATTTAAACCATCCTACCAAGCCGATACAGGATATTTACAATTAATGCGATCAGATAACTTTGAAGCCTATAAATAATAATGCAACCAACTGAATTAGTTATTTTATGTTGAGAACAAAACAAGTTAGAGTGAGCAATTGTCATTCCATACTAGTTTGTTTATTAGATGTATCACACAGTGAGTGGAACAGTATTATTTACTGGATGACAAAGTTTCGAACAAAATTTATTACTGTTCATAATCATTTCATCAATTATAATCACACGACTATGAAACTTGACTTTTATAGTTTTCTTTGTCTTCTCCTATTTTTCGTCGTTGCAGGGGTAGTAGAATTTTCCAGATATCCGACTGGACAGGTGTTGAATCATTCCTATTACACGTGTTGATTTACAGTTGATTCGATAAACAAAGCCTCTGTTATCATTCTCTCCCTCCATCCTGTGACATTAGATTTGAAAACCGTCATCCTATCGCATCCAGCCTATTGTATGGTTGTGTGTAAATGCATGTAGTGCTATAGCTGAACTATTCTCCGGATTTCTTATCTTATTCGGATCAACTAATGTAGATTTTGCTAGGTTTTTATGTTCGGCTAATCTGACTGCCCTTGTTTTACTAGTTTGACCTATGTATTTGTCCTGACAATCATTGCAGACAGGGTATTAGATGAACTAAATTGCTTTGTTTTAAAGGCTCCACAAGATTGATCCTTTAACCGACAAAACTTGTTTCTAATTGAGTTTGTGGTTGGTTTGAATCCCAGATACTTTTATTCCCGCCTTGTTAAGAATTCCGCGTAAGCCTTCCGAGGTTCCTTCCTTGTATGGAATTACTACTGATGATTTAGATTCCTTATTGTTGGTGTTGTCTTGCGCATATTTGACATGCATGTCGTTATCATTATTATTATTATCACTATCACTACTATCATTATTTATTTTATCTTTCCATTTTCCCTACATACTTCCAGATTAATTTTTCAGGGTATTTATTAGGTTCCAAGCTTCTTTTATATGCCCTAATTCCTATCTTAGATTTTCCTTGGTTACATTTAGTTTTTGTCGCCCATTACTTAGATGTATCACAAATCCTATTTTTGCTGACATAGGGTGGGATGATCGGAAATACTAATATTGGTTTGAAATCGTGGGTTTTCTGTAAATATGAGCATTTGGCTTCTCATCTTCTTGCAATTTTACGCTACAATCTAACACTAGAAGCTTCCCTTCCTGATTTTCGTAAGTAAATTGAATTGCATCCACCGTCGAGTTGATGTGTTCGAAAAAACTATTTATATCCTGTGTTCTAAGTACAGTGAATGTGTCATCTACATACCTCTACCATACTTTCGGGGTGGGGGTGAACATTTCAATCGCTATGTTTTCCCACCTATCCATGAATATCTCTGCCGCAACCGAGGATATTGGTGACACTATGGCCTTTCGCGGAATTCTTAACAAGGCGGGAATAAAAGTGACTGGGATTCAAACCAACCACAAACTCAATTAGAAACAAGTTTTGTCCGTTAAAGGATCAATCTTGTGGAGCCTTTAAAACAAAGCAGTTTAGTTTATCTAATACCCTGTCTGCAATGATTGTCAGGATAAATACATAGGCCAAACTAGTAAAACAAGGGCAGTCAGATTAGCCGAACATAAAAACCTAGCAAAATCTACATTAGTTGATCCGAATAAGATAAGAAATCCGGAGAATAGTTCAGCTATAGCACTACATGCATTTACACACAACCATACAATAGGCTG